AATAATATACTAGAATAACCTGTAGTAGAGGGTAGCTATTAGGTAGATACTATTTCTTATACATATAAGGAAATTAGTAAGAAAAGCAATATCCTACTAAATATGTAGAGGAGAGTAGTAGACTTTAAGTAATGGGATAGTATAGTTAATATACAAGATAGCCCATTAGTAAGGGAATTAATAACCTACTTTACGTGAGTATTAATAGATATTATCTATCTTAACTTAAGTAAAAATAACCTCTAATATATCTTGTATAAAGATTTTAATAGATAAATAGCCTACTAATTTAAATAAGTTTATTATATATTTACTAGAGAATTCCTATAGATATTAGAGGCTAAAGGAATCTTAATATTATTTATGTAAAGTTATTTAGAACGAATCTTAGTAATTTTTAAACTAGGAAGATAATAACCCTAACTAGCTATATAAATCTAAGAAATAATTAAAGACTAATAACTAAGTATTGAAACCCTATAAGTTAATAACTAGCTATTAGCTATATAAATATAATCAGAAGCCTTACGAGTTAATAAATGACTTCTACTAGGCCTTTGGGTAAATTTAAGATCTATATAAGAATAAATAGCTAATATACAAGGTGTATGATAAATTTCCTCTAGGATAAGATTTATATAAGAGGTGAATAATTTTCTACAACCCTTTTATATAGAGGTTACTAAACACTCTTTATATACTAGGAACCTAGTGTATAATCTACCATCTAAGTAGATTATACATAATAGTTTAGTTGATGCCTAGATAGTGGCTATCTTTTAAAAAGGGTGGAGAAAAGATAGAAACTATACTAGATAACTATACGACCTCTTATATAATAAAGTACGGATTTTTATTAGCCACTATAGAAGACTTTAAATTAAAGAGGACTAGTACTATATAGTCTTTCTAGACATTCTTTCTAGTTATGTAGAAGACTTCTATCTCTATTATATAGGGCTAAAGAAGAGATAGGATAAGATCTATACTTTACTAGATATCTATTTTAATACAAATATTAACTATAATGTCTATTAAATAGACTAGATGACTCTTTCTTTTATATAACTAAGAAGAGAGAACCCTGACAAGATACTAGTAGAGATTCTAGAAACTCTTATTAACAAGCTATAGCTTATATAATAAGCACTTAGAGAAGGATACCAGAAAGAGGTTCTACTACATATAATAGTAACTAGAGTCTACTAAGGAGTTTTAGAGCTAGAAGCTGCCCTAATTTAGTAGAAACCTATATATAAGGTACTATTTTTAGACCTTAAAGCCTCCCTCTAAGTAGCTATAGACTAGGAACCTATATAGTAATTTTATATATACAATAGTTCTATAGATATTAACTTTATAGACTAATAGTATATTTTAAACTTTAAAAAACCATTAGAAGCTATTATATAATAATAATCGATTTCCTAAACAGATAGTACTATATTATATAACAAACCTAATAGGATAGCCAAGTTAGAGACCCTATAGATAGTTAAGCTGCAAACCTTATGGCTTTAACTATATAAGCTAGAAGCAGAAATACTTTATATATAAGAAGAAAGGATGCTAGTCAACTAATTACCCAGAATTAAAAAGGAAACGTGTAAAAGACTAATACCTTTAGGCCTATAAGATACTAAAACAAGACCCTCCATATAACGACTTTACATTCTACCTACTTAACTATAAGGGAGAGAACCCTGTGGAAGTAGAATTAAACAATAGCCAAGACTCTAAAAGTAAGACCTAGTTAGCATACTTTATAGACTTATCTTTCTATTATTACATAATAGGTAAAGACATCTTTTTAGTACCTAAGACAATAGAAGCAAGCTAATTTATACTATAGGACTTATACAGCATTATCTACCAGGGAGAACTATAGGATACTAGAGCTACCAGATTCTCTATAGTAGGGAAGCCTTAGGTACTAGCCTATTTTTATGAGAACCCTTATATGAAGGTATTTTAGATACCTGGAAAAGCATTAGTAAAGTTTGGCCTAAGTAAGGCAATTTCATTTATTAGTATAATCCTAATAAACAACTCTATTAGATAAGTTAAATACTACATTTTAGATATCTCTACCCCATTTCTTTTCTCTCTACACGATATAGATAGACTAGGAGCCTACTTTAATAATATATAAAACATTATTATATAAAGTAATAGTATAACAATCCCTATAGTATATAAATAGGGTTACTTATTTTTTAACATTAGCTATATAGAAGCAGTTTTATTTTTCATAGAAGTACAGCTTAGAAGGCTTTACAGAAGATTTAGATACCTATATATAGAGAAGCTATATTAATTCCTGAGAAGTACTAGGCATATAGATGTAGAAGAAGCTATTCTAGAGAAGATTTAGAAGTTCTACTATTATTACTAATTACACAACTTAGTACTAAAGAGATTCAAGTTCTCTATTAGGGACGAAAGCTACTTTAACTACAAAATTATCATAGATGTAATATAACTAGGAAACTAAAATATTCTATATATAATTAATATGGATACAAGCTTTTAAGCAGCAACTTTCCTTAGCTCCTTGTCTACACGAGATATATAGAATACCCTATATAGGTGCTAGATCTATACCTATACAGGCCTGCCTAACTACATTATATACGATCTAGGCACTAATTTTACTTTAGAAGAATTTAGGAATAGTACTGAGATTATAGGTATCTTATGTAAAGAGATACCTGTAGAAGCATACTAGGCTATTAGCAAGATTAAGAGAGTATATATACTACTCTGGAGAGTATACAATATTCTAAAGGTAGAAATTAGCTACTATATAAATGAGGAGACCATTCTTTAAATGGCTATTAAAGCTTTAAACGATATAACTAATCTAAACAGTATTATACTAACTTTGCTTATTTTTAGAGTATATCCACAAATAAGCCAGGACTTACTACTATTACCTAATATTATACAAAGGGCAGAAGCTGTATAGAAGGCCATAAAAATACTAAGAGGAATTTATATAGAAGTTAATATTAACCAGGTAATTAATACAAGGAACGGCCCATATATACACAAAGTACTTTTTTTTCTACTAAGAAGTAAAGTTATGGTCTAGAGAGAGAACAAGGGATAGACCAGACCATATAAAATTAAAGGGATCGAAGGATATACAATTACTATAAATATAGTTAACGAGCCAACCCAGTTTTATATAATATATATTAAACCCTATTATCAATCTAACAAAATTATACAACTACTAGACAACAACCTTTCAGAACCACCTCTTTTAGAGCAAATTTAACCAAAGAAGAGAGGGAGACTAAGAAAGCACTCTATACAATTCTTACCAAGACTCTTTTTTACCCAAAAGGAGAGAGACAACTACAAGTTAGCTATCAAGCTTTACCAAGACAATATTATCACTACTCTAGGGGCCCGGTACAAAGAATCAGACGCTATAGAAATTAATACCCTAGCAAATAAAGAAGTCTTTTACTTTATATAATATAACCTAATAGTGTATAAGGCACTAAGAGTCTACAAGACATACATAGTATAAGAGATTAAGAACAAGTCAACTAGACTAGTCGAAAGTCAAGACTTGTTATATAAGGCTATAGTAATGAGGGTAAAGAAATTATTCTTATTTAAGTACCTATAATTTAACGGATGAGCCAGCACATGATTCTAGCCTTAGGACCAACCCTTGTACTATACTTTAGTACAAGGGGGGAGCTTTAAGACATTACTCAAGTATACACTTAGTTACATAACCTACTTACAAGGACAATTATTACACAACTACCAGCAAAGCTACAAGATAGATACCCTCTAGATACAGTCCTCCTAATTAAGAAGCCATTATATAGCCTTACAGAGTCTAGCCTCTACTAGTACAAGACCTATTATATATACTATACTGAATCTCTAAAGATATTAGTTTCTACATATAACCTATACCTACTATTTACTATAGACAGCCCAGAATCCTTTAGAATTGCAGGACTTTAGACAGACGATACCTTGATCTTTACTACTACATGATTCTCAGAAAGAGAAGAAGAAGAACTCTAGAAGAAAGGGTTTCGTATAAAGCTAAAGATAATTCTAGAGGAAAATACCCTAATCAACTTTAATAGTAGATAAATTTAGAAGGATGGGGATAACATTATCCTTACTTAGAAAGGCTAAGTAAACCAGCTTTATACAATTAATACAGACAAAGAGGACGTACCCTAATAATATATTGCATAATGTATAAGAGGAGTATACATAGCTTTAATCTATTAACCAGAAGTATTATACGACTTGTTAACAGCTATATAAGTCAAGAACCCTGAGGAAAAGGACATGGAGACCTTGAATATATAACTAGGGTAGTAAATAAAAAACCCTGAAAGAGGGCTAATCTACATACTACTTAAACTCGATTATACGAAGATGTATATCTTTATAGATAGCTTATTTATAAATAACAAGGACCTTATATTACAACTTAGATTTATTATTATACTAGCTACGGAAACTAGCTATATAGAAACCAATTTTAAGATCTTTAGAAACATTATACACTAGAGCTCAACCAAGTATAAAAGGGTAACCCAGAGTATACTAGCAAGCAAGCTATATAATATGATAACTAGATTTAACAGTAGTATAGTACTTAGTATAACAATAAATAGAATTATGGACTATTTAGCTATACTAAGAATCCCAGTAGTAATCTACTTAGATTTATAATTACTATATAAATACCTAGTAAAGCTAGGAACTATAGACGAGAAGAGACTTATAATAGACATTATATCTCTCAGGAAATTATATAAGAGGAAAGAAATTTCCAAGGTATAATGGATTAATAGCCAAGACAACCCAGCAGATACTTATATAAAGAAGACACTAAATTTAACACTAGAGCAACTTATTTCTACCAATAGACTAAAGATTAGGATTAAAGTATATATAGATTACCTGGACTAAAAAGAATAGAGGAAAAAGATGGAGACTACTTAGGTCTAGAGTTATATTAGGAATTAAACCCAGGCCTCTAGCTAAAAAGCTAGGATCCTCCCAACTAGACTATATAACTAGAATAAGACCCTTATTATCTCTATTAAAAGAAGAGGAAAAGATATACTTATAAGAAGGGGCAGGAGAAGAGGTAGCTAATTTAATTATACAAGGATAGACTAAAAAGAGTAAGAAGAAAAGACTATAGGACAGGCCTAGGATATATAATAAACAGGCCCAGGACATAGCCAGGACAGCCCCAGGATATATAAAGGATACGGCCAGGATACTTTAGGATATACGAGGACAGAGCCAGGACACCTTAGGACATAGCCAGGATACTTTAACCGCACGAAAAGCAACTAAAGGTAGACCTAGGGCAGGGTCAGGCTATATAAGAACAGCTAAGAATACTACTATAGCCTGGGAGAAAGCAAAAACAGGGGACACTTTAGACAAAAGCTTACATCTTATAAAAACAGGATTACATAGAAATTAAGTTAAGAGAAGTTTAGATTTAATATACGAAAAAGAATCATTATATAAGTAGAGTAGGAAGAGAGCCTACTATTAAAGAAAATCCACTATACAAAAAACCCGACTTCCTACCACCTAAGATCTACCATACAACCTAACCTACTTAAAACTAGAATTAATAACCTAGGCATTATGCTATGGGTTAATTACTACAGGCTTGTATTTAACCTTAGGGCTCAGGGTACCTTTAGCATTAGATTCTTTATTATCTAAAGAATCCTTATTACTTAAATTAGACAGCTAATTATTATCATAATAGTCGTAACGATTTCTATATAACTACTATACATACTCTATATAAGCACTCCTATAAAATCTATTAAGGTACAAGCAATGCTTAAAGTACTTAGTTACATAACGGTTACCATACTTTTACGAGCAATAGCCAGCTACATTTCTACGCAATTAAATAAGGATTATATAAAAGTAGCTCTCCCAGCAAATAATCTTAGCCCAGGCCTCCTACATTATATCACCCTTAGCTATCTATACAGTGATGTCAATAAACAGGAGACAGCAAGTACCACGTTCTTTATCCTAGACTCTTAGTTAGTATAAGGCATAGCTAAGGCAAGAAGGGTAGTACAAATACTAGTACATATTACGAGCAGAAAGGCCCGATTTACAGTAGAGGAAGTTAGGATATTCAGGTAGTTTACCCCATTAAAGTTATTAACGAATATACCGCTAAAGTAAGGCTAGGCATTTGCTATTGTTTAAAGAGGTCAAGAAGTTTTGGTTTAAAGTTTAATTCAAAAAACATACAACGATATATATAGCAGAGTATATGTATGTATGTATGTAGGTGTATGTGTCGTATGTTGAAAAGGGAAGAGGAAAGGGAAGCGAAGAAAGAGAAGCAGGCAAAAGCCTTGAAGGCATATAGTATCCCAGCAATTAGTTAGTACACCTACCACTAGTGTAATAAACTCAAGTAAGTAAGTTACTACCTTCAGAAGGCAGCTCTCATAGCCCTTCCTCAAGAAGCTCTTTTTATACAAAAGGGAAGGGTTTGAAAAGGGTAGTGTTTTACACACATACGGCGCAATCTTGATTTATATGGAAAATAAAGGAAAAGGCAGCACAACCTACCCACGTTAGAAGCTCCGAAAAGCTATTACATACAAGCAGCTCAACCTACTCGTACAACCAGTCTACAAGCATACGGCACTTACAAAGAAAAGATTACCAGTATTGGAATAGCATCAAGCACAGCCGTATGCTTGAGCCTTGATACTGAAGGGATGACTAAGCAGACCGCCTTGGCGTGGGCATATATATTGTACCCACCGTACGGAGGTCTCCCTTCTCTCTTAGTTAAAAGAATAAGCAAGAATCAACCAACCAAACCCAATCGTCTAACGATACGTACGTACGTATAAAGCCCATTTAACAAAAATACTATTTTCTATTCTTCTCTTTTCTTTATTTAAATAAGGTTATAGGCTTCTTTAAAGTCAAGGGCTATAAACTATTATACTTCTTATAGTTAGTCTTATAGTTTCTTAATAAGTAGTAGAAGATACTAATTCTTAATAGTAATATTATTAAGTTATTAATAGTCTATATAAAGTTGTAGCTTACCGTTTTTCTTAGGTATAAACAGGATTAAATATCTTGCTAGTAATCTTAAAGGTTAAATGTATCCTTTTCTAAGGTTTTTATTAAGGTATTCTTTAAGTGCCTTAAGTTTTTCCTTATTAAGTCTATAGATTTTGTAAAACCTTGGTGTCTCTTCCTTTTATATGGGGATCTTGTAGTCTTATTGACTGTATTTAAGGATTCCTATATTGAGTTCCTCCTAAAATACTTTTCTAAATTTATAGTATTCTCTTAGTATTTATTTAAATCTTGCTAGTACGCTTTATTCCCTATATTGGTATAGATAGAGGAGGTATTGCTTTATCTCTTATTTATAAATCATGCTATATATTAATTAACTTCGGCCTTTTCTTAAGGTCTTTAAGTAGTCTAATTCTTCTCTGTTTTCCTAAAGCTAAGTTTCTTTCTAACTGCTTCTAGAGGTATTTATAGGTTTATTTAAGTATGTTTCCTTGCTATTCTTAGTAACTAAACTCTATCCTATACCGTTAATTGTAACCTTTTTCTAGGGAACAGTATTATCTTAAAAGATCTAGCTAATAGTCTAATTAATTTGGGAATTTGTAGCCTTTAGCCACAAAAGTCTTAAGATTAGTTTATATTATACTATATCTATAATATCTAAAATTATAGAAGTTTTGTATCCTTAGATTAAGACAAGTAGATAATTAGTCTCTATATTAATTACTCTATTTCTATATCTTACTTCTATACCTTCTATAGTATTAAGTCTATAGGGGTCTTCCTTCTAATACTATAAAATCTTATCTCAATTAATAATTTTTGGTAATATAAAGTTGCTTTAAGCGCCACTATCTAATAGTATGCTATATATTCTTCTGTTAATTTCTACTTTAAGTATAATATATATGTAGGTAGTTGTTTATATTGTATATAGGGACCTATAGTCTATAATCAACTATTGTCTCTTTATAGGCAATTATTGTCTTTCCCGATTCCTGCTATACTTAAATCTAGGCTTATATAGTGTGTTTCTTTTGCTACTGGTTATAGTGCCAGCTTATAAGCTTATATTCTATATGGATGGAATATTTAGGTATTCTATAGTCTTAGGCTTATCGTTATCTTTGCAGATACTCTAGTGGTAGGTTGGGGCTAAGCTTTAGCATAGTATAGGCTTTTTTTTAGTTATATTTGCTGGATTTTTAGTAGTAGAGTTTATCCTTCTTATAGACTCTAGTAATAGGTCCTTTACTAAAGCATTAAGAAAATAAGTTATATTAGGCCTTCTCCCTAAAGTATATATAGTAGAGATTCTAGATATAGGAGACCTAAGAGATTTCCTAATATTCTAGGTATTCTAGCTATAGGTATAGTTTATCGCCTATCCTTCGTTTCTCTAAAGTTTAGTTAAGTTCTCTAACTATTTAAGCTATTTAGATTCCTATAATAGCAATCCTAGTAATACTAGTATCTAGGGCGATTAAGATACTATATCCTAAATATTTCTTGAGGTTACTATTTAGGTATTCTTCTTCCTTTATTGCTTAGTTAGTCTATACTAGACTGCCTTCTTTTAGGGCATTGTCCTAAAAGCTTCCTACTCTAGCATACTTAGTGCTTAAACAATCTGAGTTACTATTGTTTATTACTATATCATACAATAGTCCTTGTCTTCCTATAGCTAACTGTTGTTCCTATTAAGGTTCCTTTAGAAATCATCCAGAGGCTTCTTTCTCTAAAAGATATAGTATACACTGATCATTAAAACAGAAGCTCTAATTAAAGGTTCTATATTATTTATCAGCATCTGCTACTTGCTTAGAGTTAGGTAGTAGATTGTCTAAATCTTCGGGTTCCTATTTGTTAGGGTAGATTAGACATTCTATATAGAGGCTGGGTTAACATATATAGTTTGTTCTACCTTCCGGGTATATCGGGCATTATTTATTAAATAAGCAGCTATACTACTTAGGTAGTTCTTATTATTAGATTATATTAATCTATTGTTATCCTTTAGGGACTGGCTTCTATTATTTTTTAGGCTAGCAACATTTTCTTACAAAGTATCTAGGCTTTCCGCAATTATAGCATTCCTTGCTGGTTGGTTTTCATTATACTACATTAAGTTCTATAGGGCCTAAATAGATTCCGCTAGCTATACTATTATATTCTCGTTAATATTAGGATTAATAGTTATAATAAAAGCTACTATTATATTAGTACTTCCTTCCTATATTAAGCTAGTTTTAGGGCTTCTACAAGTTATTAGGTATCTTATATTATTGTTTCTGCCTTTATTTAAAGAGGCAGTTATTAATGTATACAGCTATAGATATATATTTTGTAAAGTCGTTAGGTTAGTCTAGCTTAGCGATTTTATTCTTAACATCCTCCTTAAGTCTCTTGTAGAACTAGCTTATAAGTATATCTTCTCCCCAACTAATATAGGTGGTGAGTTGCTTAAAGTAGGCTATATAGATTAATGTTAACCTAATCTGTCTAAGCTATATAAGTTGTCTTTCGGCAGTTCTATCTTTGTCTGGGTCTCTGAAAGTATCTTTAAGAGCCTGCTTAAAGTAGTTAAAAGTCTTAAAGATTTTCTTAGTATTATTATCCCAGTCTTTTTCGTCATTCTCCAGATAGTCCCTTAGGGTTGGTTTAAACTATACAAGTATATTTCCTTTAAGGCAATATCTAGTAAAAATAATCTTATTATAATAAATTTCAAACTAGAGATAGTTATATTTAAAGTAGGCATAGCACTATATAAGGAATCCTTAGAGGGTTTTCTTATCTCCCTTATAGGGGCTAGGCTTGTTTATCTTAAAAGCCTTGGCTTGCTAGAATATATAGAGATGTATAATCTCCTACTATAGTTAGCTAATCTATTTACCTATTTCCTTAATAGGGTTAGCTTTAGTCTGGGTAACTTAAAAGGCAGTAGGAGTCTAAGGTACTATTATATTATTAATATTA